TATTTCGTAAGTTACAATGTAATTTCAAGTAATGTAAAATGTAATCTATGTAATGCCAACCCTAGGTAAATATTTAATTCGTAACTGGTAAACAAATTAATTTGTAATTTTGGTAAACATAATGTCCATAACTCTGGCGAACATAATTTGGCATAGTTTTGGTATAATTTAATTTATAAATATGGTAAACAAATCTGGTAAAATTTAATTCGTAACTTTGGTAAACAAATTTTGGTAAAATTCAATTCGTAACTCTGGTAAATATAATTTTGGTAGAATTAATTCGAACTCTGGTTGTGCTTTAATCATCATGCTAATATTATCTATAAAATCTTCATTTCTAAGCATATCAAGAACTGTTGAAAATTGTATAACATCAATAGATAAAACATTTCCATTAATATCAACAAATTCTTATTCTATGCTAAAATTGGTTAATTCATTTATATTTGAATCTGATTGATATTCTAATTTAAGCCATCATTTTCTAATTAAAGATATATGAAACTGAGCTTTTGTACTACGAATCATAACTTGAAAAAAATGGCAGCATACTAATCCACGATTCAAAATCATTAAACAAGTACAAATATGTCTCTGATCAAGTAAAAGAATTATAAAATGGGGTGTTGAATTTGGATTATGTGTAAGATGAGTAATATGTTACACCTCAAGAATATTTTTGAATCAACTTGGCTAATAAAAGCTTTTAATGATATTTGCGCAATATCAGCTTGATTACTTATATCTGAATCATTTTTTGCTCCATATTCTAATATTATAAATAAATACGAATGAATTTTAAATAGTAATTTTTGAAGTTTAGATATATGTATATTATATATTTACCATAATACTTTCATATTCTTCTTGCTAAATTAAAGTAGTATTATATTCTAAGCTTATATCAAGTTGTACTTTTTGAATTAAATATATTTTTGACATAAGATATTTATTTAATTCCTTGGTTATATGTGGAAAAATTTACTGCGATACTGATATAGACATGTATATATATAGTAAGACTCAATCCAATCAAAATATTTAGCTTTGGTGGCTTGGTTTTGAAGAAAAGATTGAATACTTTGAAAAAAATTAATTAAGCTATTTTGTGAATTTACATATTTTTTAATAATTGAGTTAATTCCTTCAACACATTGTGTTGATACCATGTCTGCAGTAAAAAACTATTAATAAATAAGTAAATGATACAAATAAAATAATTTACAGTAATTATATAAAGCTTACATACAAATAAATGCTTTTGCCCACGATTCTTTAATTTTATTTAAAGTTTCTACTAAGTAGGTACTAGCAGAAGGAAATTTTTCAACTAATTGATTTTATCTAGTTTTAAAAATAGTTTTATTTAAACTATTATAGGCTAAATAAAACTTTGATAAAAATAAGCTATAATTTTCACCCAAAGTACTTTGCAAATAACGATCTAAGTTTTGTCGAAGATGAAATATATAGTGGATATGTTTAACATTAGGTAAAAAAGTTTTTACAGCTGCATCTAATCCGGTATTGGCATCACTAATAAGAACTAATGGTAAAATATTATTATTTGCACTTAATAATTGCTCAAATACCCATATATAAGATGCTGATGTTTCGTCTAACAATAATACTTGTACAAAAACTCATATATGATTTTGATTATCAATGCTGACAAATAAACAAAGTGCTATTGAATACTTATTTGTTCTAGAAATATTATCTGTTACAATAATATCATAGTACTGTTGATATAAATCATGTTGGCTTGAGTCTATCCAAGAAATATAAAACAATCATCCATGTTTGTTTTTTTAGCAATAAATATTCCAGGATCATTATTTTGTTGACTTTCAAGTGCATTAAGTAATAAAAATGCATCATTGTCTAGATCACTATTTTCATTACAAGAATCTTGCTTATAACGTTAAATTGCATTTATTACATCTCTCTCTAAAAAAGTTTGCTATAGAAATTCGGCTATTAAAAGATTTTAAATTATAAAACTATCTAATCTAGGTGAATTATTAATATAAAACTTGATTTGATCTATAACTGGCTCAGATAAACTTCGATATTGTAGTGCAAACTTAGTTGTTATCAAGTTAAGATCATGATTAGCATGTTTAGGTTCAAAAGTAGTTACTTGAGGATTTGCATCTGATTTTGGCCAATTAATATTAATATAGCAAGTGCATTCTACATAAGAAGAGGTAGTATTATTTTTATTATAAATCTGTGGCTTGCTTGCATGATGACACTCAAATACTTTTTTGCTAATTGTTTTATCAACTTGATAATAAGTATTTTGTAATCTCTAAACAAAGCCTTTTATTTTGGTATAAGTGTACAATACTTGATCTACATGTTCCCAATTGTCAAATTTATATCTGACTTCTAATTCTTTTGCCTGATTTTTTAAATTATCACTAATTTGCAGTTCTTGAAAATTTTTTTTTCACTTTTTCTTTAAAATAGCAGATTTCGATTCTGATGCTTCTTGGTTATCTATTGTTATTTAGATATTACATAGAACCAAAACAAATATGTATGTACATATGTACATATATATATTAATATAAAAAGTTGTAATTTGTATTTGGTAACCAATTATTTAAAAGCCGCAGAAGCAAATATTTGCTTAGTAAAGAACTATAATTTGCACAAAGTGATAAACAAATGATGTCGCTATGCATACGTGTATTACTATCTTATGCTATGTAATACTATATGATTTACATTATGCTGTATTACATAATACTATTTAATAATTCCTTAATTGGTTAGTAATTTACTATAGTTGTACAAATAAATAATAGTATTACGGGGCGATAAAAATTTATAACCACCTTGGGTGGAATTGAGACTTTTTCAATTTTAATTTTATAATTTATTAATAAAATTATAAAAATATTATGATCCTTAAAAATTTAACAATAAATTCTATTTTTATACTTAAAAATATATTATATCAGTAAATTTTCTTTTATATTTTTTAAATTTAAAAAAATTACTTATTTTTATATTTTTGATCAAAAATTTAAAATTAAGTATATTTTTTTAAAAAATAAAAAATATAAATATATTAATATATCTTTTTTTAATATTCAAGATGAGGTCATGTCTCTACCATAATCTATATAGCAAATATTACATATCAATTCATATTATATGATACACTACAGAAGTTTAACAATTAATCTACAACCTATATCTATTAGTGCTTCTTATATCTGCATAATTAATCTAGATTTTTTATTTCTTATCTAGCTATTTCTAGAATTACAATATACCTAGTTATAATTTTTAATTTGGTTTTACTTGCTTATTCACTCCTTATAAGCTCTTAATTTAGTATACCTGTAAATGCCAGCCATCATTAATACAGGTGGTCTTTCTATAGTATTTCGAATTGTAGTTAAACAACTGACTATTGCTAACTTGTTAACTAGTTGTTTAAAAAAATTTAAATAACCAATCAATTAATTATTTAATGTACAATTTTTTAGTTAAACTAATTTGTGTTGATTTTTTTAATTTAATTGGCTAATTATATAATAATACTATATGTATTGATAGTTGACAACTAAACAACTCCAAATATTATCTTTTTATAGCCTGTATTACAAGCCAGAACTCTTCTACCTAGTTAGATTCTCATATAAGAAACTTAGTATTTTATTGTTAGCAAGCTTTCTACTTATTTTCTAGATACTACTAACCTGTATCTCAAGTTAGAGTTTCTATTACTGCTAGTTTTGTCTACTTCAAAACTTTTTTAAATATAGTGATATCTTACTAATTCATTTATATTTTTTATATAGTTATTACCAGAACCATATTTTATAGGTTGTTTTAATAGCTTATTATGTTAAAAACCAGCTTACTACTATAAAATTTCTTAAGTAACAAACAACTTTTACTTTTAGCTATAGGCTTTGTATTATATTATTAGAAGGTAAACTTCAATTCACCTTGATTTCTAGTTTGGGTTTTTATCTAAGTTGGTATTACATTGAGTTGGTATATTCTAGTATCTTTTATTATAGACTTTTATTTAGATATTCTAAATCTCTTAGCTTAGTACATACTAGATTAATTTGATTTGTATCTATATAATTATCTATTTTAGCTAACTGTTCGATAATAAAAGAGGTGTTTCTAATTTAAGTAAGACTTATCTTTTATTATAGCTCTTTTATATATTTACTGCTTTTTTTGTTATTCTAGTTTTGATAATAATATATCACTCTTCTAAGCAAGTATTCAATACAATTTTTAAATTAAAACTTATTTGCACAATCTATTAATTATTCTTTCAAACAAGTATCTCAAAAGTTATATACAAAGATGTTGGTATTATCTAAAGTAAAAATGAAAAAATATTAGTATTACTTTCAAGTCACTAACTAGAAAACTTATTTATATGATCTTCTATAGTCTAAACTTTTTGTGATACTATTGTTATATATACTGTCTACATTTTATGATTGAACTCCTCCTGTAAATTTTTTATTTTAGAACTGTACTTGCATATAAACTTTTTACAAGGTTTTATATTTGATTATAGTTCTATACAGATTATAGTTACAAATTTAAAAATTTGTAACCAGCATAATTTGAACTGTTAATCTTGTTTGTATTGTTTAGAAGTTTAACTAATAAACTACAAAACCCAAACTATATTAATATTTCTTAAACTATCTAGCAAACAAATTTGTTATTTAATCTATTATTGTAGAAGTTTTTATAATTACAATACAAAAATATCTTTATAATATAATATTATTATTAATCAACAATTCTTTATAACCAACTTTATAGAATTAATTTTTTAAAATAATATCAGAAAGATAAGATAATTCAAAAGCTTAAATATACCAGGATGTAGATAATATTTTCTGAATATCAGTCTCACAATTTGTTATTTAGATTATTTTATAATAGTAGGTCAAATGATTGGCACACCCAAATTTTATAAGTAAAATTTGCTTAAATTTGCTTTCTATGCTTATTTGACAATAAAGAAGTTGTCAGTGTAATTTCTAGATATCATTTTGCAAATTCTCTAGCATTTGAAGATTCTTTCTGTAAAATTCTAAGGGTAGTTAAAAATAAACCCAAAAGAATCATGACTATAAAGTTGGGCAATTTTTTAACGATTTTTACAATTTTTTTATAAGTGATATATATTGTTTACCCAAAAATATCTAAAAAATATAATGATAAATAGTCAATTATATAAATTTAATTGATTGTTTTTTTTTTTTTTTGGTGTTAAGGTGGCCTCTTTGCCAGCTCCTTTTTTTCGGTTATAGTTAACTTTACAATATGCATTTATAGC